GGTGGTGGTGGTGATGATGACTATGATGACGATGATGATGATGATGATGATGATGATGATGATGATGATGATGATGATGATGAGGATGAGGATGAGGATGATGATGCTGATGAGGATGCTGATGAGGATGACGATGATGCTGATGCTCACGATTATGATGGTGGTGGTGGTGATGATGATTCTGATTATGAGTATGATGATGATGCTGATGATTATTATTACGATCATGGTGACCAGGATGATGACAAGGATGAGGATGATGATGGTGATGGTGATGATGGTGATGGTGATCATGATGATGCTGCTCATGATGATGATGATGATGATGATGATGATGATGCTGATGATGATGATGATGATGATGATGATGATGATGATGATGATGATGATGAGGAAGATGTTGAGGTTGATGCTGCTGCTGCTCATGATGATGATGGTGCTGATGATGATGCTGCTGCTGCTGATGATGATGATGATGATGATGATGATGATGATGATGATGATGATGATGATGGGGGTGGTGGTGATGGCGGTGAGGGGGAGGAAGGAGGAGGAGAAGGACCAGGAATAGGATGATGAGGAGGACACTGTAGACCCAGGACGCTCAACGATGTTGCAATAACCCCTCCCTCCGAGTTTCCTCTTCAGAGGTCCCTACAACTACTTGTTTTCACTACGGGAAGTGCCCCATGGGAAGACAACCGTCTGAGAATTCCCGTGCGTGCTAACACACTATTCCTAGGACTTCAACGCCGCGAATCCACTTGAATGCTGCGTCCGGACAATCCTAAATCGTGGGACTCGGGCACCGCGAGTTCACGTGACTTTTGCGTACTGTCAGTCCCAGTTCGTGCCAGAACGCAGTTCCTGGATTTCAGCCACATGACTCTTCGAAGCTTCTGCACACTTTTGAGATGCCTGGCGCCAATACGAGAGGCACAGTTTGGAACGGTGCCGCCCTCCATCCTTGACGCTCATTCGAACCTTAAGACGAGTGCACGCGACGCTAAGGCGAGAGCCACATTTTCTGTTGCAGCTTTCAAGCTTCAGGATCATGCATGGTGAGGAAGTCCCAGGCGAAACACGTCTGGGTGTGCGACAGGGGGGGAGATATTTAGAAGGAAAGCGGATAGAGGATGAGGAGGGGGAGGGGGAGGAAGAAGAGGAGGAGGATGAGGAGGAGGAAGAGGCGGAGGAGAGGGAGGAGAGGGAGGAGAGGGAGGCGAGGGAGGAGAGGGTGGAGAGGGTGGAGAGGGAAGAGAGGGAGGAGAGGGAGGAGACGGAGAAGAGGGAGGATGGGGAATACGAGAAACATGATTATTATTATTATTATTATTATTATTATTACCAAGAAGATTAAGAGGAATAAACATAATACGAATACTGGTAAGAAGAAGACTAATATCCTCAACACATGTACTATAAATAGCAAGCGTGCCAAGAGTAACGAACATCTGCCCAATACGAAAACTAACACCACTAACACTGTTAGAGCTACTAAGCAGGCTTGTAATAACACTAATGCGAATCATAGCAATAAAGCTAATACGAGTACCAAGCATAATACTGGTAATATTACGACGAACATGATTATTACTACTGATAGTATTAACAATGAAGCGATGTTAATATTAATCGTATTATTAAGACCGCAGCAAACACTGATACGGCTACCAAGAGTTGCACTACTATCACGAAGAAGAATAGCACGACTGATACCAGGGTGACTCCTATTAGTAAGAAGAGCTGCTAATACCAAGTGACTGATGCTACAGCTGCTAAGGATACGAACACTAATGAGGGACTAATACCCATGATACTGTTGCGAATCGTAGCATGACCAATACGTGCACTACTGATACGACTAACTTTTTACGAACGACAAACACAATGACACTAGTACCAGTGGACTAAACAATAAGACGGCTAATCATACGACGAATAAGAATTATAGCAACAACAATACTACGAATAGCAGCCAGCGTTGACTCCAACTAGACTAGACGACTCAAGTCAAGGAATCAGAGGAATCAAGCATGCTTGGAATCTGTAACTCAGCAAGCAAGCAAGCGTGCAAGCAAGCGCGCAAGCACGCAAGCAAGCAAGCACGCAAGCAGGCAGGCAAGCAAGCGTGCAAGCGTGCACGCAAGCAAGCAAGCAAGCAAGCACGCAATCAAGCACGCAAGCAAGCAAGCAAGCAAGCAAGCAGGCAAAGGCATAGGTGTAGGCATAGGAGTTCGGGGGGAGGCATATGCATAGGCATGAGCATAGGTATAGACATAGCCATCGGAATTAGGGGGGGGGGCATAGGAATTAGGGGGGACATCGGACGAATTAGTAGATTTTGAGCTATGATTCCTGTAGTGCAAGCCAATCTGGATAATGCTAATACTAGTACGAATGCTAAAACCATCAGCACTACTAATGATTGTAGTAATTTGCTACGAATAATGGTACTACTCGTACTCTTATTTATCATTGAGAGGAATAGTTACAAGAAGAAGAGGAGGATGAGGAAGAGGAGAGGAATGGGGGAGGAGGAGGGTGAGGAGGGTGAGGAGGATGAGGAGGAGGAGGAGTAGGAGGAGGAGGAGGAGGACGAGGTGGAGGAAGAGGGGGGGGAGGAGGAGGAGGAGGAGGAGGAGGAGGAGGAGGAGGAGGAGGAGGAGGAGGAGGAGGAGGAGGAGGAGGAGGAGGAGGAGGAGGAGGAGGAGAGGGATTCATTGAGGGAGGTCAGGAAGGAGGGGCGGAGAGGAACAGGAGAGGGAGGAGAGAAGGAGAGATCGAGCGGGGCGTGAGGATGATGGCGGAGGAAGGAAGAGGAGAGAGGGAGAAGGAGGAGGAGGATGAGGAGGAGGAACATAATGATGAGGAGAAGGAGGATATGGAGGAGAAGGAATGTATTCACGGCGCCCCTCAGCAGAACAAACTGGACGGAGAAGGCGAGCGGGGGGCTGGTGCGATGATCTGAGCATTCTGGCGATCCGTCTGTGGCAGGATGTCTGTGCCACCTGTGCCAGCGATCTTCGCCGATAGCTTCGCGGGAAGCCAGCCCGCGTGATGCAGGGGGCTCGACCTACCAGGTCGATTTCACTCTCTTGGGGCTCTCTTGGGCCGTCGTGGGGGCCCCTCGGGCAGTCTTGGGGCCCTCCTGGGCCTCCTTGGATGCCCCCTTCTGGGGTCTCCTATGCCGTGTTGGGGCGATCTTGATGCCCCATTGGGCCGTCTTGGAGTGCCAGAAGCCTTTCAAACATCTCAGAGCCATAAATGATTTTGACTCTTCGGGTCGTCTCGGGAATACCCGGGGGTTCTCTTGAGGAGTCTTGAGGGCCTCTGAGATCGTCTTCAGGCCATCTTGGGCAGTCTCGGAGCGCTGTTGGGTCGTCGCGGGGCCCTCTTGGACCGTCATGGGGCCATCCTGTGACCCTCTTGGTCCGTCTTGGGGCTCTGGTATCTGAAAGAGTTTCGCGGGGAATCCCAGGAACGCCCTGCAGCGCCTGGCAGCGCCCGGGAATTCCGTGAACCCGGTGGTCGGGGCCCCGTAAGGGTTTTGCGATTTTTGTAGCCGTCATTGCAGCTGGGAGCCTTCGGGCACTCCACTTGGTGCTGATGGCACGGTGGCGGATTTCATTGCGAGGGCACAGATGGACGTTAGATGAATCACATCGGAGTGGAGTCGGGATCGGATGAATCTAGGGCTCGGTCCTAGGTTTTTGCCGATCACTGTCACCTTGGAGCTGCTGTTTTTGCAAGCACTGGGCACGTTCCAAGACTGTTCCTTTTGCCTATGTTGCATCGCCAGGTGTTTACAGTGCAGCTGCAGTGCTGAATCCACGGAGACCGTGTCCGTGGCAGCGCTCGAGTGTGCGCAAAAAGTCGCCTCACTGCCCGCCTCCTTTCGTCCATCTGTCTTATCAGCCCTTCACGCTTTGCTCCGCGATCTGCAAGAACAAGCTGTACCCTGGTCTTTTTTGCCTCACGCGGTTTTGCGAAGTTTGGATCTCAGCATGCTGCACGCTGAAAGAGGTTTTCGTGCTCGACATCTTTGCCTGTGAGCGGTGCAAAAAGGGGTTTCACAGCGCGGGCACGGGCATCAGCTGCCCCCGTAATTACTGTCGCGCGTAAGCGCCTTCTCTCTCCATGTATATTGCCCCTTCGGCAACTGCTTAAGCTTCGGCGCAATGTTGCTGTACCCTCGCATGCAAGACCCCTTTTGCCTTCGTCGACCGCGTAGCCATCCTGTGACTCGGTCGTCATGCCCTGGCCTCCCATGCCTGACGCGGCGTTGCGAAGCCTTGATGCCAGCTCTTCGTGCTCGACTTTTCGCACGTGGCTGTCCCGTGAGTCGCACATCGAGGGTGCAAGTCTTGAAGACGAACACGTGCATTCAAGGAAACCTTTGGAGCTTCGCGCGGCGTCCTGGGGATCGGCGCTGGACCTCCCTCCCTGGCGCTGGCGCGCGGAGCGCGCCAGGGGCGCCGCCAGGGGGGGGCCCCAGCGCTGATCCGAGGAGTCCGCGCGGAGCTCCACGCGCGGAGCTCCAAGAGTTGAGTGTTTACGCCGCGCAGGCCGGCCGCGCCAGCGCGCTCAGGTCGGAAGCCCGTCACCTCTGAGTGCCCCCTCCTCCCCCCCTCCTCCGCGGCCGCCCCGCCTGCCTCGGCCTTCCTCTCCCGCGCGCTGGGCAGTTCGCTCTTCGGTGGCCCCCCTGCAGCCCGACCGCTGGTGCAGCAGTGCTGCCTCGCCGCCGACGGACAAGAACCTTCTGCCGCGTCTGGTTCCTCTCACCGTCGGCTCGGGACTTCGAGCCTGGGCGCGCAGGTTCGCGTCACCGTTTCCTGCGGGCGGGGAGCGCAGCGGCGCGCACGGCGGGGGGGAGGGCGGGGGCAGGGGCGGGGCGGGGCCCGGCGGCAGTGCGCTGCCTGCACTTTCCCCCCGCCCCGTTTCTCTCTGCCTCCGCGCGCTGCTTTTTCCGCACCTCCCTGCCAACTTCCTTGCCGCAGTGTCTGAGATGCTGCGGCAAGAACATTGGCAAGGTGATGTGGAAAAAGGCCAGCGACAGTCAGCTGCACTGCGACTGTGGCCTGCCAGAACAGGAGGCGCGGAGGATAGGGGGAGCGGCGAGCCAGCAGAACGAGGATGAGGATGAGGGTGAGGATGAGATTGATGATGCTGCTGATGATGATGCGGATGATGATCATGCTGTTGATGATGATGACGATGATGACGACGATGATGATGATAAGGAGGAGGAGGAGGAGGAGGAGGGGGATGATGACGCTGATGATGATGTGATGCTGATGATTATGACGATGACGATGAGGCTGATGATCATAATGATGATGACAACGAGGATGCTGATTATGATGATGGTGGTGGTGATGGTGATGATTATCATGATGATGATGGTGGTGCTGATGATGATGATGATTATGATGATGATGCTGATAATGGTGATGATGCTGATGATGCTGCTGATGATGATGCTAATGACCATGATGTGGATGATGATGATGATGATGCTGATGCTGATTCTGGTGCTGCTGCTGATGATGAGCTGAGGATGATGCTGTTGCTGATGATAATGATGCTGATGGCGACGCTGATGCAGATTATGATGTTGCTGCTGACGATGCTGCTGCTGATGCTGATGCTGATGATGAAGGTGATGGTGATGATGACGATGATGACAATGATGACGATGATGATGACGATGATGATGATGCTGCTGATGATGATGTTGATGCTGATGATGGTGTCGATGATGACGATGATGATGATGATGATGATGATGATGATGATGATGATGGTGATGCTGATTATGCTGACGATGATGCTGATGCTGCTGATGCTGATGCTGATGCTGATGATGATACTGATGATGATGCTGATGATGATGCTGCTGATGGTGAAGAAGAAGAATAATGCTACCAATAATAATAGAAATGGTCAGAAGAACCATATGAATTATAGTAGTAATAATAAAAGTAATAATACTACTAATAATGCTAACATAATCATAGTACTAATAAGAAGAATACTATTAATCATGAAACTCATCCGTAAGGGCTTCGCCCCATGCCGCCGGCCCCCTGTCTCGGATAATGGGAGATGCAAAAGCTAAATCATGAGGTCTGGGCGCCGCCGTGAAGCAGTGTCGGGACCTGTTTGTTTTTCGACCCTGACCCTACGGATCTGCGTGAGGGGTGCCGCCGAATTTCAGAAATGTGGCAAATCCCATGTGTTTTTGCACCCTGACCCTGCCGATCTGCGTGAGGGGTGTTACTGAATGTCAGGAATGTGGCAAATCCCATGTGTTTTTGGACCCTGACCCCGCCGATCTGCGTGAGGGGTGCCGCCGAATTTCAGAAATGTAGCAAATCCCTTGTGTTTTTGCACCCTGACCCTGCCGATCTGCGTGAGCGGTGCTCCCAAATTTTAGGAATGTGGCAAATCTCATGTGTTTTTGGACCCTGACCCCGCCGATCTGCATGAGGGGTGCCACCGAATTCCAGGCATGTAGCACATCCCGGGTGGTTTAGGACCCTGACCCCGCCGATCTGCGTGAGGGGTGCCGCCGAAATTCAGAAATGTGGCAAATCCCATATGTTTTTTTCCCGGAAAGGGCGTGGGCCCAGGGTTCTCTTTTAGTATGTAAACATAGTCCCCCGTGCCCAACTTGAAGGAGGCCGGCGGATTCTTTCCCTGATAAATATCGAGGTCGAAGGAGGCCGGCGGATTAAAATTTGAGGATGTCTCAGGCGAAACGCTTGTTTTTGAAATCCCGATCGATAAATCACAGGGTGCGGGCCGCCTCAGCACGACCACACCCCAGCACGACCATGCCCCAGCACGACCACACCCCAGCACGACCCCGCCCCAGCACGACCCCACCCCAGCACGACCACGCCCCAGCACGACCACACCCCAGCACGACCACACCCCAGCACGACCACACCCCAGCACGACCCCACCCCAGCACGAGCCCACCCCAGCACGACCACACCCCAGCACGACCACACCCCAGCACGACCCCACCCAAGCACGACCACACCCCAGCACGACCACGCCCCAGCACGACCACTCCCCAGCACGACCCCGCCCCAGCACGAGCCCACCCCAGCACGACCACACCCCAGCACGACCTCACCACAGCGCGACCCCACCCAAGCACGACCCCACCCCAGCAAGACCACACCCCAGCACGACCACACCCCAGCACGACCTCACCACAGCGCGACCTCACCACAGCACGACCACACCCCAGCACGACCACGCCCCAGCACGACCACGCCCCAGCACGACCACCCCCCAGCACGGCCACCCCATCAGCACGACCACCCCCCAGCACGACCACCCCCCAGCACGACCACACCCCAGCACGACCACACCCCAGCACGACCACTCCTCAGCACGACCACACCCCAGCACGACCACACCACAGCACGACCACACCCAGTCGCACTCCCGTGGAATGTTTCGTGGGGTGTCTCGTGGAATGCCGTCGTCGTCCTCGTCCGCGATGTGCTTTGGTTGAGTGGTTGCCTGTTCGTGGGGTGTCTCGTGGAATGTTTCGCGGGGTGTCGCGTGGAATGTTTCGTGAGGTGTCTCGTGGAATGTTTCGTGAGGTGTCTCGTGGGATGTTTCGCGGGGTGTCTCGTGGGATGTTTCTTGAGGTGTCGCCCAGTTGGGTATCGTGAAAACGTGACCGTGCTCCACATGTCTATATCCCTTTCCGGGTTCGTGGGTCCATCATGTTTGGACCCTGACCCCGCCGATCTGCATGAGGGGTGCCGCCGACTTTCAGAAATGTGGCAAATCCGCTATGTTTTCGGACCCTGACCCTGCCGATCTGGGAGAGGGGTGCCACCGAATCTTAGAAATGTGGCAAATCCCATGTGGACCCTGACCCCGCCGATCTGCATGAGGGGTGCCACCGAATTTCAGAAATGTGGCAAATCCCATGTGTTTTTGGACCCTGACCTCGCCGATCTTTGTAAGGGGTGACAATTTTTACCCACCCCCGCGATTCAGAGCACACGCTCAGGGCGTGGTAAAAATGCCCCTTTTGGGCCTCCCCCCCTCGCGCGGTCCATCAACAAGGAACAGTGAGCAGCAGTGGAAACTGGAAGCTGCAAAGAAGCAGAACTGTAACGGTGTAAACTGGAAGCTGCAACTGGTACAGGAAACTGCGAACCTTCGTTTTACAGCCTGGAGGCCCCACAAGGGGGGCCGGCGGATGTTAACGATAATAACAATAAGAGCAATAATAATGATACTAATACTAAGAAGAAGCATACTAACAAGACTAATGCTAATAATAATGATGAAACTAATATTAAGAATACTAATACGAATAATAATACTACTACTGATATCTCTCAATAATAATAATAAGAACGATAAGAATGATATTACTGATGCTAATAATAATAACAATAATAATAAGGTTAATACTATGAATAATATTAATAATGCTAATAATCGTAATAATCATAATAATCATACTAGTCATGCTAATCAGAATAATCATACGAATAATAACAATACTACTCATCATCATAATAATAATGATACTGATAATCATAAAAACAATAAGACAACAAGTCGGGGGGATGGGGAGGAGGAGGGGGAGGATGAGGAGGAGGAGGAGGAGGAGGAACAGGGAGGAGAAGGAGGAAGAGGAGGAAGAGGAGGAGGAGGAGGAGGAGGAGGAGGAGAGGAGGAGGAGGAGGAGGAGGAGGAGGAGGAGGATATTGAGGTTGACGAGAACGGGGGGGACGGGGACGAGGACGGAGGGAAAATTGGGGGGCGCACGGACACTGGGATGAGCCAGAGGGAGGGGCGGCCACGGGAGGGGAGCTGCAGGGCGCCCAGAGATCCGACGTTGCATGCGCGGTCCCCCGAGCTCTCGACACCTTCCTTTGGACCAGTCGCGTTTGCGCTGGATCGTTTTTTTTTTTTTTTTTGTGTGTGTGTGAGACGGTCCAGGAGCCCGAATGCGGCCTCCAGCGGCCGACCGCTTCTTTTTTTTTTTTTTGCGCGGCGACGCCGGCCCTGAGGCGCCCACGGGACCCTGAGCAGAGACAGCGCCCGTTGCCGCGGCTGGCCGTTCCCGCGTGCGCAGATTCCGCCGTGCTCGCCGTTGCTGTGGTCTTGGCGGCGGGCGCTATCGTCCGTGGCAGCGGCATCGTCGTGGGCTGCCGCGTGCCTGCCGTTGCGGAGGCAGGGCATCGAATCGACGCGCCACCGCTGGGAGCCCGTGAGCGGGCAGCTCCTCCGTTTCTGTCCGAAGGCTCGGTGCTTCTTCACCAGCGGCACGCTTTGGCGGCGCGCAGAAGGGGGAGGGGGGACGGGGGAAGGCTTCGTAGAAGCGCCCCTGCGTCTTGGAAGGCGCGGGCCCTGCCTGCAGATGTAAGGCTGGCGCCTTTTTCGCAGCAGCCTCCTTCGAAGAAGCCTTCCCACCCTCCCCCTGCCCCCCTGCACGGTGTTGCTGGACGTGCCGCTGGCCCAAGGTGCCCCCAGGATCCCCAAGAAGGCCCCCATGGCCTCCAGAGCACCCTTCACGAGGCCCAGGGGGCCCCAGGGGCTCCAAGAAGCAGCCTCCTTCGAAGAAGCCTTCCCACCCTCCCCCTGCCCCCTCTGTGAACGCCGCCAAGACACGTTGATGGGTTCCCCACGGTGGCGCGTCCTGGAGGCCGTGTTTTTTCCCGCTGCAGTCCCAGACATCCGATGTCCCGATGCTTTCGAGTGCGCGACCCCGGGAAGTCCCAGCCCTTTCCCTGGGGCCAGCTTGTCATCCTGGGCAGTGCTTGGACGGTCCTGGGGCCCAGCGAGAGGGCCCCCAGAGACGGAACACCGGGGGGAAAACACGCCGACTCGATCTTTTCAATGCGCTGGAGGTCTGGGTCGGACCGGGCTGGGATGAGGACAACTCCGTTCCAGAGCGATCTGGAACGCTCTCAGAGCGTCCCGGAACGCACCGAGAAGGCCGCGGTGCCCGAGACAATCCTCCAGCGCCGCTGGACCCCAGAGATTCTCGATCCTCCGAGATTCTCGACCTATCCCCACCCGATGCTCTCCTCGTCCTGGCTTCGTCTTGCTGGGGTGGCAGCACCGGGCGCCCTCGCCCGCTGCGGCGGCCGGCTCTCAGGACCGCCGCCGAGCCGGGGGGGCGAGCCCCCGCTCGAGGCCACGGCTGGGGCACCCGGGCCGGCGGCCGGAGGGGCGGGGGCAGCGGCACGGCCACCGCCGGCGGGCCACGTGCGCGGCCGCGGGGACGCCGCCAGACCATGGGTCGGGCCAGACGGAGGGGGGGCATTGGGAAATGGGGGGTTACGACATTTTTCTGCATGCAGCTGGTTTCGGCCCTACCGAGGGGCCCATTCCTCGATACATGGCCGCCTCCGGCGCCGGGAGGCGCCGGGAAAATCAGCTGCCTGAGCTGATTCTCAACCCCCCCTTTTGCTATCCCCCCCTTTCGCCCGACCCGAGTGGGGAGCGCACCGCGTGATCGTTTCCTTGTTCATTGTCTCGCCGACGGGCGCGGGCCCTCGCCCCCCCCCCTCGCCCCCCCTCCATGGAGTAGATCTTGGCTGTTTTTGGCGCCTACTTAAAGCAGGTGGGGTCTCCCCCACAGGACGCACTGCTGCAGGCAGTCGCATGAAGCAGAGGTCCGGAGCCAGACCCCCCCCCTCCCCCCCTTTCGCCCAATGTCGAAGCGCCGAATAAGAAAACGTTCACCACCAGGAGGTCCCTTGTCAGCCAGCTTCTCGCGACGGTCTCCGACATCCGGCTATCTGACGTTCTCCATGCGCGGCCCCAGAGGTCCCGACCCCTTGCGCCTCAGGTCCATCCTTGATGGTCCTGGGGCGCGGCAGAGGGCCCTGGAGGCCGAGATCGGGGAGCAGCGCCGGGGTTAGAAGATGTCAGTCGTCGGAGGTCTGGGGGTGGTGGCGTCGCCTGTCCTCGTTTCCGAGCGTGGCCTCGTCTGCCCGCGCCCGCGCCCATGGCGCCCGGGGAGCCGGCGGCCGCAGAGGTGGTCTCCGCCGCGGGTGCTGCGGCGGACGAGGTTGCCAGCCTCGTCGTGGAGGCCCTGCTCGGTCGGGGCGTGTCGAGGCTCGAGGGTCGGGCCCAGGCAGCCTCATCAGCCTGGGGGGCTGGGACTTCGTGGCCTCGAGCCGCCAGAGAGGGGGAGAGGCACCACTGTGCGTGCACAGATTTCGTTCCCCAGATTCCCGACGATCTGGTTTCTTCAACCGGGGCGTTTTTCCTCGCTTTCGGCCTCAGGGGCGCGTGGTCGCGCCCTGGGGCCGCCGTCAACAGCGGGTCGAGGATGAGAAACGGCCCCCTGGAGAAGAGGTCGGGCGGGACCTCCTGGGCCGCGCCTTGGAAACATCAGATGGCCGGATGTCAGCGCGGTTGGCGGTGGAATAGTGGTGGCTTCTCGTCGGTATGTAGGCCAGAGGCCCCGCGGGGCCGCCGTAAGCGGGGACCGGCCGCGCGTAAGAGAGTAGCCCTTCGCCAGGTGCGGGCCCATGGGACCCCCCTCGGCATTGCCCCCCCTCCCTCCTCCTCCTCCTCCTCCTCCTCCTCCTCCTCCTCCTCCTCCTCCTCCTCCTCCTCCTCCTCCTCCTCCTCCTCCTCCTCCTCCTCCCCCCACCTGCCACCTTCAGAGCCGCGCGCCAAAGGTCGCTCTTGCCCTCTTGCCCAATTCGGATCGCTCTTGCGTGTAGCCGACTAACCGACTGAATGTACCATGATACAGCAGTGGTGATCTTTACCTGCGCACAGGCCTGCCAGCGGATCTCCGGCCGGCATGCGGTATTCAGGGCCTCCCGAAACTCTCTGGTGATGTGCGATCCGAGGTCCCCCGAAATCTCGGAAGCCTCACGGGACGCTCTTTGGCCACCGGACGCTTTTGGGACTCTGGAGGCTCATGTCGCTCAGGCCGCTCAGGACTCCAAACGGTCAGCTCAACCCGAATCACCTTTCACTCACCAGACCTGGGGGTCACCGGACCGTTTAGGGGACCTCCGAGGGATCTCGAGCTGGAGCGATTTTGCTAGACACCCGCTGTCGTGTTCTTCTGGCAAGGTGGATTCTTGGAAATCTCATCCCCCCCTTCCCCGGGAACCTTTCGCCCAAAGAGCTGGTGGGATTCAGGAGTGGGGGAGTGTGCCGGCGCGCCTTCGCTTTGTTTCTCCACGGGAGGACGTCTCGGGTGGGCCCAAGACTGGGACAACTCGCCCCAGAGCGTTCCGAAACGCTCCGGAACGGCCGCGGCGCCCTGTACATCTTCCAGCACCGCCGGATTTTTGCGAGGCATCTCTTTGGCGAGGCCGCGGCTGCTACGCCCTGGAGGGGCCCACGTGACTGCTCGAGCGAGCGATCCGTTCCCACTCCAGGCCGCCCCGTCTCGGAGATCCCCGATGAGTCCGACTGTCACATATTTTCAGATGTCTGCTAGGGCGTGATTCTGAGCCCCGCGATGCGGGGCCACCAGGCTCGCGGCAGGTGCTCTGCGCCGTCTGACGCTTGCCTAGGATTCTCGTTCAGATGGTTCTCCCCTGGCCTCGACTTGCGTAGGGCCCCGATTCGTCCTGGTCCGATTCGCCCCTGGCCCTGGGCTTCGTCTCGCGATCCTCTCCCCCCCGGCCGCGCTGCTGCCCGCGCCCCCCTCTGCACGAGCCCTCCCCGTCGTGCCTCCTCGTGGCGCCGAGCTCGCGTGCGGGAGGTGCTCGCGCCCCCCCCCCCCCTCCCTCGGGGCAGTGCGGGAGTGCGGGAGTGCGGGAGTGTGCTGGTGTGCTTTCGCCCCCCCCCGCTCTCCACGGCCTGCGGTCGGGGCCTCTCGGGAAGCGCGTCGCTCCGCGGGTACGGGCCCACCGCGCTTTGGCGCGCGACGCGCGATCCACTTCGTGGTCCCGCGGCGCCCGTGTTTTCCGAGCCTCTCCGAGCCTCCCGCCCCGCGGAGCGGAGCGACACGCTATCCATTCGCAAGCCATAGCGTGTTTCGCCCTGGCGACACGCTATCCAACAGTTCCCCACCGTGGGACTCCGCTGCCGGCGGCATCACCTTCTCCCCGCAGCGTTTCTGCCCAAGCACGCCTCTGCACGAGCCCTCCGTCGTGCCCCGTCGAGGCGCCGACCCCGCTTGCAAGATTCGGCCACGCGCGGAGAGGTGATATGGGGGAGGGGGGAGACGGCTTCTTAGAAGCGCCCCTGCCTCTTGGAAGGCGCGGGCCTGATCTGTAGATGTAGGGCCGGCGCCTGCTATCGGGGAAACGTGAGACTCGAGTACGCTGGAACTTGGGTTTGCCGACGCTTTTTGACGAGCGCGTCCTGGATTTTGACGGTCCAGTTTTCGTGGGATGTCTGCGGCGGGAGCTCGCGCCCAATTTCAGAGGGGGTCGCGCCACTTTTTCATGGTGGCCCCGCCAGGCCATCCCGAGTCCCTCGCACCCGCGCCTCACGCCCCCCTCCATTCTAGGAGGCAGCCTCCTTCTGAGAAGCCTTCCCCCCTCCCCCGGATCGCCCCCCTGTGCGCGCCGCCAAGAGATTCGGGCCGGACGAAAGGGGGGGATTGGGAAAGGGGGGTTACGAAATCTGCTGCATGCAGCTGGTTTCGGCCTCACCGAGGGGCCCATTCCTCGATACATGGCCGCCTCCGGCGCCGGGAGGCGCCGGGAAAATCAGCTACGTGAGCTGATTCTCACCCCCCCCCCCTTTTGCTATCCCCCCCTTTCGCCCGACCCGAGCGATGCCCGCCCGCCGCGTCTCGCTGCTCGCCGTGGCCGTGCTGGGCCTCGCCGCCGCTGCGGCGCTCCTGGGGGCGGAGGCCTTCTGCGGCGGGGCGCGCGCGCCGCAGGGCCTCGGCGCCCGGCGGGGCGCGGTGGCCGCGGCGGCCCTGCCGGCGGAGGCGGTGGTGGACGCGTCCTCGATCTCGAGGGGGAGGAAAGTGGCGCCCGGCACAGACTTCTGGTCGGAACTCGGAACTATGATTGCGTAAGTCGGGCCTGTCCCTCTACGGGAGGAAAATTCAAACATAGGGGAAAAATGGTCTGGGGACTATTTTTGGAGTATTTTATTTGAATATTTTGGGGGTACGTTTTTTTTTTTTTTTTTTTTTTGTTGTTTTGTTTTGATAGTTTGATTTTTTGTGTTATTCTAATTTTTATATATAAAAGTAATTTTTGTTATTGTTTTATTTATTATTATATATATATGCTTATATATATAGTAATATATTTATACACATAAAACTATATAAATATTTCGCCCAAAATCCCCTTGTAGGGGGACAGCCCCGACTTCAAACTAGGACGCAAACATGAGGGCTCGGAGGTCCGCGCGGGTTCCTCCGATCGGCGCTGGGGCCCCCCCGGCGGCACTTCCAGCGCCTCCCCTGCCGCGCTCCGCGCGCCAGGGAGGGGGGTTCCAGCGCCGATCCGAGGAATCCGCGCAGACCTCCGAGTCTTGATGTTGATGTCGGGATAGGCACGGGACAGATGGGCACACAGAGCGATAACATGTCGTGTTCACTGGGCACAGGTCTCGCTGTCGGTGTCGCCGCGGACGTTCTCCGTTTGAGACGGAAGGCCGCCTGCCCAAAGCGGCAGCTGCCGGGCATCGTACCCATCTTTTCCGTACTCCAGATTTCGTAATGAAGGGAGGGGGGTCTCATTTCGGGGGGGGGTCTCTTCCAGGCTATCTTAGAGGGCCTGGGGGGTCTGGGGACGATATTTTGGAGGGTTCTCCCACGGGGGAGGTCTGACATGGCTTGTCTTGGAGGGTCCCGACCCTCTCCCTTTTATTACGAAATCTGGAGTATCCATTCCGGCGTCCAAGTGTGGAGACTCGCGCGGGTAGTCTCGGTTCGGCGAGGGGCCCCCTGGCGGCGCCTCCGGCTCCGCGCCCAGCGCGCTCCGCGCTCCAGCGAGGGTGGGGTCCGGCGCCGATCCGGGGCACCCGCGCGGGCTTCTGGAAGTCTGCGCTCGTGCTGCTTTCCCTCCCTCTGCAATCGTGACCGCGCTGCAGATCCAGCAGCCGGCCTGGGCGGCCAACCTGGTCCTCGTGATCGTCCCGATCAGCATCCTCATCATCATCTACCTCCAGTCGGAGAAGACGCTGCAGGAGAGGGACGCCGTTATCGGCAAGCAGAGGCTGTGAGCTCGGCCAGGGGGTTTGGGGAGTGATCGAGTGAGGTCTGGAGCTGGCTGGGGGGGGTGTGGGGGTGAGGTTGTCTGGTACTGGTTCCGGAAAGCAGAAAAGGGGGAGAAAGGGCCCCCCTTCGGCTGGGCGCGGCTCGAAAAACTTGTCAGTTTCGACCCCAGGAGGTGTCCAGGGACAGATTTTGAGCAGATTTGCCCTCGTCCGCCCCCCTTGACCGATTTTCTCGCCGCCCATCCAGCGCAGACCCACCGGCCGCTACCAAAGTGAGGTGCTCCTGCTAGTGCCAGTGTTTCGTCATAGCTTGGCCGTTGACGCGCCCAGTTTTTTTTAGCGAGCGATGGTGTTGGCGACCGTCGTAAAGAATGACCATCGTCGTGCCAGCGTGATCGCAGCCGTTGTCGGTGCACTCAGTCGTCGGCTCCAGCGTCATCTCATGGTAGCCTTTATCTGTACCAGTCGAGACAGTCGTACCTGCCGTCCTCTATGCTCGTTCACGTGCCGTTGGCGCTCAGAGCTCGCTGGCGTCAGGTGCACCCTCACTCAGACGAGAACAATACATCGCCGACACCGCTACCTTTCCCTTTGCCATGGCCAGATGCGCCTCGAATTGCTGGTCAGAACTGACCCCTGGAGAGGCCTGGGGAGTAGCGGTATCGGTACATTTCCGGCTACAAGAACAGGTTTTGATATAGAAGCCGGGTTGTTACATTCATTTCTTAATTCATTCTCTTTTCGACCCAGGCTCTCTGCTTTTCTTGCCCTGCCCGAGGCTGGTCCCGCCACTCCAGCGCAGTCGTGGTGATGATGATGATGATGATGATGATGATGATGATGATGATGATGATGATGATGATGATGATGATGATGATGATGATGATGATGATGATATTGATGATGATGATGATGATGATGATGATGATGATGATGATGATGATGATGATGATGATGATGATGATGATGATGACGCCCTACTTGCGTAAAGAGCCTAACAGGTCCTAGCGGTTTCCAATCCAAGGTGTCACGTGCCACCCAACGGGCCATTCGAGAGTCATCACAGGTCTCTCAGCTGGCCCCAAACAGATCGAGATCCAATGAATTTTGTTCCAACATGTTGTTCAGATACGGCCCCACGAGTCCACCAGAGCCCCACGAGGGCCTCGCAGCTCCTCCGTCCCTCCTTTTTGCGCCCTCTCTTCTCGATCGTCCCTGTCACCTCCTCTCTCTTTCCTCTTTGCTTCTCTATCCTGCCTTTCTTCTTCACCTCCCTCGGTTTCTCCTTCGCCGTCCCCTTGCTTGCCTCTTCTCTCATCCCTGCTGTGACCCGTATTCTCGCTTCTCCCTTCTCCGTCTTTCCTCGTTCTTTTCTCCCCTCTCTAGCCCATCCTCTGTGCAGGGGACCTGGTAGCGCTTACGACCTCCAGCCCAAGGTCCCAGAGCTCTTTCGTCGGATTTCCCGTCCCTACGCTATCCGACCTCCACGTTCCTTGGGTTGTCTGGTTTGTCGGAATTCTTGCGTCCGATCGCAGTGCATTGTTTTGCACTGCATTTGTACTCTTCTTGATGCGATGGGTTGCCGCCGCATCCGCTGAACATAACGATGTTTCTTGCATGCCAATACCAATGCAACTCATTGGATTTATTGCAGGCTCTGCACTGTTTTGCATTGCGTCGTTTTGAACTTGTTTGGGCGTCCCTTTGTCGGTCATGTGTATCTGTTCGGTCCGCTCTCGTGCTACTTTTTCAGCTCATGGCCTATTCATGCATGGGTACGTGCGTGCATGCATGCAGTTGTGGGCGCGTCAAGGGCGGGTGCTTGTTAGAATCAAAGCGCGCGCGAGACGCGTGCGCGTGGTTCTAGTCTCAGAAGGCAGAAGGCTCGAGGCATTCGGGACCTCTGAGAAGGTCCGCCTCCTTTCACTTCCCCCCCGGGCGCGCCGCCGAATGGATATGCCCATCGAAACCCGGAAGGGACAGCCAATGTCCCCGCCTAGGGGGGAAATCGGCCAGTGGGGCCCAGGCCATGCCAGGGGGGATATGGATCGGTTACGTGATGCCTAACAGGGCTGCGGAAGTCCACAAACGCTCCATGAGGGCTTGCCCCCCGGTGCAGATCGACCCCGCAACTAGGCTCGCCACTGGCGCCCCGCTTGCCACTGGGATGCATCAAGCAGTGGGCGCCGAACATGGGGCCCTTGGGCGTCACCGAAAAGTTTCATGTGGCCACGCCTCTGCCCATCTGAGTTGACATAGTATCGGCGTCACACCGACATTCAGTGTGCGTCGCCCCCCCATGGGCGTCGCGCGCGCCGATATATCTTACAGTCTCAGTTCCGTGGTGGGTGCTTTCTGACCGTGCCGCTCGGGAAACGATGCGCTACAGTATGCTTGTCTCCGAGGAGGACGCGCGCCTCCGAAGAGGACCCCTGAAGGGGGACGACGGCGATGACGGCGGCGGCGACGAGTGAAGCCCCCCCTTCCCGCCACGGTCCCCGTTGTCCACAGGGGGGACGGGGCGGGAGGGGGGGCCTCAGTTCGCCCTGTCCACAAGGAGGACCACCCTAGTATTAACATGTCCCAGTATCAGTATGTCCTTCCACGTCGTCCTAGAGACGGGCGGAAAAACCCTGCGCAATCAAAACTTGAGAGCTCTTCTGCCCATCTGCCCACGTGCCCATGTGAGCGACGAAACAAAACGGGGTCGTCTGCGCCGACATTGGCGCGGAAGCTGTCGGCGTAAGGTAGCGCGTAAGTGGCCTCGTTTCCGCTGTGGCGTTCCGCGCTGGCGGTCCGCGTAAGCCGGGGTCGTGGCGTGCCGCGCCGGCGTGGCATCGTGCTCGCCCCCGCGGCGACCGCCCCCTCCGCGAGAGGCCCCAGCCTGCGAGCTGCGGCGCCTGCTGTGCGCGCCCCCCGACGCCGCGGCCCCGGGGCGCCGCGGCCCCGAGCTGGCGGCGGCGTTGCGGGACTTCCGACGCCCCGGCGGCCGGTGTCTGCCGCGGCCTTAGGCCTGGGGCGCCCAGGCGGCGATGCGGTCGGTGACCGCCATATCGTGCCGAGCTGGTAGTGTTCGGGAGGTGTCGGTCGTTTTCGGAGGCGTCCGAACCCTGGGGTGGTTTCCATCAGCTGCGCCTCGTGGAGGGCGTTCCGGGAGTGCCAGAACCGTCCCGAACAGCTGCGGGAGAGCCGAGTTATGGCCCGAACACGCGTGCGGTGACCTGCCGCGGCCTTAGATTTAAGTCGGGCATGTCCCTCTACAGGAGGAATATTCAAAAATAGGGATAGTGTGGGGGCTTTTTTTTGACAAGTTTCGACTATGGTGGAGTAGTTTTTGGATATTCTTCATGTCTCGTACAAAATACGCTTATAGAAGGACATGCCTGACTTAACCTCAGAAGGGGCGGGTCGTCGTGATTCTTTCTTGGCAGGCCTTTTCTACAACCAATTGCGGTACCTATCCCTGCGGGTTCGAGTCGGCTGGGGGCCTGAGGCGGCCCAGCTTGGGTTCTGGCCAGCAGGATCGGGAAAACAAAGTAAGACTCGAGTAAGCCGGGACTCGGGTTAGCCGATGTTTTTTGACGAGCGCGTCCTGATTCTGACGGTCCAGTATTCGTGGGGTGTTTGCAGCGGGAGCTCGCGTCAAATTTCAGATTGGGTCTCGTCATTTTTTATGATGGCCCCGTCAGGCCAACCCGAGTCCCCCGTACCCGAGTCTTACGTCTCCCCGACAGGAAGAGGGGACAGGTTCGAGGGTCTGGGTTCGATAGGTTCTTTGCATTTTTGTTTCGGTTTCTGCGGGCCGGTCTGGTTTGATGATGGCCGTTTTCGGGCCCCAGGGCCGTCAGAAATGGATCGGGGGTGAAAAACTGTTTAGATGGATCTTGGGAGGGGTCCAGGGAACGATTTTGAGTGGATTTGGCCTCATCCCCCCTCCTGACCGATCTTCTTGAGTCCCAGCTAGTTCAGACCCCCCTGCTGCCTCCATCTGACAGCAGTTCCTGTTCATTGTGAACAGGGCTCGCTGTCCGTGCCGCCGCGGGCGTCGTCGATTTAAGACAGAAGACCGCCTGCTCAACAGCAGCCGCTGTCGGTTTTGGACACCTGTTGTTGTTGGGCTCCGTGCCCATGTTTTCCGTGCCCATTTCGGGCGTCCAAACCAGAGCGCCTGGCGTCGTGATTTTTTCCCGGCGTTTTTTTTGCGACCAATTTCGAACCCTACCCCTGCGGGTCCTTTCGACACTGGGGCATCGGACACCCCCTCAGGGGTTCACTCGGCTGCATGTATCTTTCAGATCCTGAGCTCCAGGAGGTTAACAAATAGCACCCCGATCTTTCCGCTAACTCGACACAGACGCCCAATCCCAAACACGCGAGGGTCAAAACGGAGATTTCGAGGGTAGGTTTTACCAGGGGGACCACGACGAACGCACTCCAGACCCCGACGTCTCTGGCCGCTTTTCGAAGCCTCGGTGACTCCGCGATCTTGGGATTGGGAACGTGCTCTCTCCCTGGTCCTCTCTGAGCTCTCATGGGCGGGGCGTTCAGCAGCCCACTTCCTGGGAGAGCCATCTCTTAGCACCGCGGCAGGCCGGGGACGGCCCCGAGACCCGGGCGCCTCGCCCTTCCCTCGGCGGGCGCTCCGCCTGCCCCGCCTCGGGCCTCGGGACCTCCGCGCGCCGGCCTGGCTCGAGGACGTGCCGCAAAGTGAGTCCGGCCGAGGCTGAAGATGGGGGCCCAGAGAATATACACCACCACCACGTCGATTCTTCTTCTCTCCTCTTTCCAGGGAGAGGGAGGGGGGGAGGGAGGTGGTGGTGGTGTATATTTTGGGGCCCCCTAGAAGACATTCTTCGTGAACATGTTCGGCCACGCGCAGAGGGAAGCAGGGGGAGGGGGGGGGGCTTCTTAGAAGCACCCCTGCTTCTCAGAAGGCGCGGGCCTTGTCTGTAGATGCAGGGCCGGCGCCTTCTAGGAAGCAGCCTCCTTCTAAGACGCCTTCCCCCCTCCCCCTACCCCCCTCCACGGTGTTACCGGAAGTGCCGCTGGCCCAAGGTGCCCCCAGGATCCCCAAGGAGGCCCCCATGGCCTCCAGAGCACCCCTCACGAGGCCCAGGGGGCCCCAGGGGCTCCCAGAAGCAGCGAAAGGTTGAGTCGGACGGGGTAAGGACGAGGATAACTCCATTCCAGAGCGTTCCGGAACGCTCTCAGAGCGCTCTGGAGCGTTCTGAGAAGGCCGCCGCGCCCGATACGCTCGATTCGTCCCCCAGATCCGCTGGATCTCAAAGATTCTCGATCTATTTGTACCCGATCTTATCCTCGTCCTGGCTTCGTCTTGCTGGGGGCACCTTGCGCCATGGGCACTTCTAGCAACACCCGAATAACCCTTCGGAGTTATGACCGCTGCCTGCCGCGGCCTCAGACCGAAGAGAGCCACACTTTCCCTTGGGGGCTGGACGGCTCCTCTCCGATCGGCGTGCGGGGATGAGGCCAGATGATCACAGGAGGAATAGATACCCGTACTGCTACCCTCGCCTCGTTTTCGCCTTCTTGGGCCTCCTAGGAGGCCGTCGTCGCCACCGCTGGATTCGCCTCGAAATTCTTTACGCTTCGCGTATCCCCACCAGCCCATCTCACAACAGCAACTCTTGCGAAGCATGCCGACAGTCGTGTTTTTCAGGCGTGTGTCCGCTTGGCCCCGCATATCTCCCCTGTTACTCCTTCCTCCCGCCTCCTTGTACATCCTCCTTGTGGGGGGAGCGGGAGAAGGACGAGGCGGAGGAGGAGGGAGAGAAAGCGCTCCTCGTGGTTTGAGTCGTTTGGGGTTTCTCGTCCTGGTGTGAGTCGTTCGGGCCCTTCTTCCTGGTGTGAGTCGTTCGGGCTCTTCGTGGTGTGAGTCGTTCGGGCTCTTCGTCCTGGTGTGAGTCGTTCGGGCTTCTCGTGGTGTGAGTTGTTCGGGCCCCTCGTCCTGGTGTGAGTCGTTCGGGCCCCTCCTCCTGGTGTGACTCGTTCGGGCTCCTCGTGGTGTGAGTCGTTCGGGGCCCTCGTCGTGGTGTGAGTCGTTCGGGCTCCTCGTGGTGTGAGTCGTTCGGGCGCCTCGTCCTGGTGTGAGTCGTTCGGGCCCCTCCTTCTGGTGTGAGTCGTTCGGGCTCTTCGTGGTGTGAGTCGTTCGGGCCCCTCGTCCTGGTGTGAGTCGTTCGGGCTCCTCGTGGCGTGAGGCGTTCGGGCACCTCGTTCCCTTTTGGGGCGTCTTGGGGGCCTCTTGGCGGCCCCAGGGGCTTCTAGGAGCGTCTTGGGTGCCTTGGGGGAGCCTCTTCGGGCCTCTTGGGAGCCTCTTGGAGGCCGTTTGGGGCGTCTTGGGGGCCTCTTGGCGGCCCCAGGGGCTTCCAGGAGCGTCTTGGGTGCCTCGGGGGAGCCTCTTGGGGCCTCTTGGGGGCCTCTTGGGGGCATCTTGGGGGCCTCTTGGAGGCCTCTTGGGGGCCTCCTGGGGGCCTCTTGGGGCCATCTTGGGGCCTCTTGGTGCCTCCTGGGCGCTTCTTGGGGCCATCTTGGAGGGAATGGATCAAAGAAGAGGGGAGCTTTAATGAGCGCTGCCCCCTCAGAAGGGCAAAATGAGCCCAAAACCTTAGTAAAATCAATGATTTTGCCTTGAAGGAAGAGGAGAACTTAAATGAGCGCTGCCCCCTCAGAAGGCCAAAATGGGGCCAACACCGTAGTAAAATCAATGATTTTGGCTTCATAGAAGAGGAGAGGGTTTTCTCTCCCCCCCCCCGTCGGGGCCAGAATCCTCGTGAGGGTCGTCGTTTTTTAGCCCTCCCAGGAGTCGAAAAGGACCCCCCTGACCACCCGCGAAACCCCCTCTCCAGGTCCAGGGGGAGGGGGTAGGGGGAGGGGTAAACCCCTCCCCGAAGGGGAAGAAGGGGGGGTGAGAACAGAGCGGGCTCTCTAAACCACTCACGCCCAAAGGACTGGTGGGATTTTGTTCAGAACGCATCCCTGAAGAGGTCTGGAGAGTAACGGTATCGGTACCTTTTGGTTTTCCCAAGTCCAGGTAGATCGAGGTACGTCCAGATAGATCGAAGCAAACTCACAGATACCCGGGGAAAGCTGGAGCACGGCGTGGACGTTCCGGCGCGAGCCGACGGACAGCAGAAGTCGCTAAACCCTTCATGAAATTAAGATACACCCCAGTCGTTGGAAATTTGTATTTTCGGACTCCCAGATCCCGATCTATTTCTAGCGCCTTCCTACTGCAAGATTCGGCACGGCTCTGATGTGTTCTGTTGTTCTTCGGGAGGGCCCGAATCCAATATCCTTCATCCGCCCTCCTACTTCATGTTTCTGCCTACTTCTTCCGACCGCCGTGTACGCGTAGACTTTCGGAGGTCTGCGCCGACTTTCCGGATCTGCGCTGGACACCCCTGGCGGCGACGACGTCGCCCCCTGTCGCGCATCGCCTGCCAGCGAGGGGGTCTGCCGCAGATCCAAGAACTCCGCGTGGGCCTCCGAAAGCTTGCACGCTGGTCGTTGAAGGCAGGTGTTTTCTGATTCCCATATCCCAATCTACTTTAGGCGCCTTCTTACTTCAAGAGTCGAGTGGTTTCTCCCTCTTCCCTCCTCTTCAGGGGGCGGGCGGAAACCCAATATACTTCAATGCCTTCCTACTTCATGTTTCTATCCACTTCTTCTGACCGACTGGTATGTGTATTTTTTTTTGTTGTCGCTCTAATGAGGGGGCCAGACGAAGACGAAAACGACGGCAACCACGAGGAGGAGTCCCGAGGGACAGAGGGAGGGAGGGATTTTGGCGCAGGCCGGACTTCGAGATTTTTGGCGCGTCTCGCCTTTTGGTCTTGGTTGGGTTGGGTCAGCCTCGAGGTTTTGGCCAGAACACGCCCTAGGACAGACGTGTCCGGCGACTACAGTGCTGCTATCATTTTCCCTTCCCAGGATACGATTTGTTTTGCCACCCGATGCAATCCCCGCGTGTCTGGTGACACCCCACTCCTGGATCCCCAGGCCGTCCAGGTAGTCCAGCCAGCCCCGTGAGCATGGCCTTGCTCCTTGCTGACTCGAAGTGCCCTGTTCGCGCTCCCATGTGGAGCGTGGCCAAATGGCGAGTGTGACGAAACGAGGAAGGTTGCCGAGAGGCTCGGCCGAGAAAGAACGCCGAGAGCGATGCCTCGACACCGGATCGGCTGCGCCCACGAGCGCGCGACAGGCCCAGAATCCCCGACGCCGTGATCGCTCACAGCGTGGACCCCCGGAGGCCTCGACCCTCCCCCCCCCGGGAACGGTCTTTCATCCCGAGCCCCGAGCTGTTTTGCGGACTGCCCCGGGGCCCGGTGAGGGCCCCCAGAGGCCGAACACAGCCCCGAACCGACCGCCAGAGCTGGCTCCACGACGCGAGGGGGCCTCATCCTGTGCCGCTTCCTCGAGGGCCCGGGGAAGGCCCCCCCCCCCCCCCCGTGACGGCTCGTGTTCCTTGACCACTCTGTCGAACGGGCTCCGCAGCCTGAGTAGTGTAGCCCACACGAGTCTGCTTACCCCCCCCCCTCCCCCTCGGTAGGCCGAGGGCGGCCAGCAGCCGTCCACCGGCACCCTCTGCACACGGCGCGCAGGGTCCGGGGGCCGCTCTGTGGCCCCCGCCCCCGCGCGCGCACTCCGTGCCAGACGACGAAGACGACGAAGACGACGACGACGAGGACGACGACGACGACGAGGACGACGACGACGACGAGAACGACGAAGACGACGAGGACGACGACGACGACGACGAGGACGACGAAGACGACGACGACGAAGACGAGGACGAGGAGGAGGACGAGGACGACGACGTCGACGACGTCGTAGGGGTGGTGTGCAAGCGTCGCGCCCCAAGAGATGCCGTTTTTGTATGCAGCCCCGGCTCCACAGCCTGGTGCCGGACCAGCTTGTTCGTGGGGTGGTGTGCATCATCGAGAACAAAAGAGCCCCTAACCCTAATAGCGCAGTGAAGACTTGGCCTCGCTCAGGTCACCGTCTTTGTATTGGGGCTCACAGGAATCTGGGCGGTTTGGTTCGATACATCTGCTGAAAAGACTCCCAATCCCTAATGTTTCTGGCTCTCCTAACTTAGGTCCCCTTCCAAAGGGTTATGGGTCCTTTTATTGTTAATCGGTACAGTCAGCCCGCATAGGAAGGATCAGCAACTTTCAAGGGTTACCCTGCATCCCTCCCCTCTGGCCCATCCTCGGCCGCTCTGGCTGGCCGCGCCCCGCCCGCAAAGTGCCGACAGGGCCCTCCAAGGCCCTCGCATCCTTCTCGTGCGCCCTTCTCATACGGGTTGCCTTCGGAGTTCTGCGCCGATCTCCTATATCTTCGCTTGGCCCCCTCGGCGGCGCCCTCCGGCGCCGCCAGGGCGGCCACGGCCTGCCGCGGCCCCGTTGCTGTCGGCCTGCTGCTGTCTTTGCCCGGCCCCCCTTCCATCTGCCCGCCCGCCCCGCCGGCCCTGGCCCCCCGCCTGCGCGTCCGCTGCCGTCTGCCGGCTTCTCCCCTCCTCCCCCCCCTTCCGCCAAGCAGCGCAGCCTGCCCGATCTTCGGCCTCGGGGGGCCTGGCAAGGGCCCCCCCGAGGCCGAACGCAGCGAACGGCCCCCCGACGTGCTGTTTCCAGAGCTCGAAGAGCTCTGCGGAAGAGGCTCTCCCCCCAGCGCGGAGCCGTCGCGGTCGTCGCCCGTCGCCGCCGCCTCGGAGGTCGTTCGCTCGTCCTCGCGTGGCCCTGGCCGTCGCGTCGTTCCGTTGCTGTGGTCGCTCGTTGCCGTCGTCGTCGTCGTCGTCGTCGTCGTCGTCGTCGTCGTCGTCGTCGTCGTCGTCGTCGTCGTCGTCGTCGTCGTCGCGGTCGTCGTCGTCGTCGTCGTCGTCGTCGTCGTCGTCGTCGTCGTCGTCGTCGTCGTCGTCGTCGTCGTCGTGGTGGTGGTCGTCGTCGTCGTCGTCGTCGTCGTCGTCGTCGTCGTCGTGGTCGTCCTCGTGCGCGCGCCGCGGTGCGGTGCAGGCCGCCGTCCTCGTGCGCGCGCCGCGGTGCGGTGCAGGCCGCCCCCCCGGGCCGCGCTCGCGCGCGCGCGAGCGCCGCCGCCGGGAGGCTGTGGCCCGCCGTGCAGCGGAAGTGCGGGGCGGAGGAGGCGCGGCCGCCCCCCGCCGCGGGCGGCCCGCGGGGCCTCCGTCGTCGGCGTCGTCCTCCTGCGGTCGGACCGAGGTACCCAGACCCCCTCCCTCCCTCCTCCTCCTCCTCCTCCTCCCTCCCTCCCTCCCTCCCTCCCTCCCTCCCTCCCTCCTCCTCCTCCTCCCCTCCTCCTCCTCCTGCTCCTGCTGCTCCTCCTCCTCCTCCTCCTCCTCCTCTCCTCCCTCCTCCTCCTCCTCCGCCTGCTCCTCCTCCTCCTCCTCCTCTTCCTCCTCTCTCCTCCTCCTCTCCTCCCTCCTCCTCCTCCTCCTCCTCCTCCCTCCTCGTTTTCTTTTTGCTCCTCGCCGTCAGCCTCGTCCTCTGCTCCCCGCGGCCTCAGCGCCCACCGCCGCCCGCACCGTCTCGCCTGCTTCGGGCCTCACCTCGAGCCCGCCAGGGACTGGGAGCTCGGGCGGACGAAGGCGGACGGGATGTTTTTCGCTACCGTTGGCCTCTGGGGGCCCTTCTGGGCCTCGGGATCGTCAAGCAACGACTCGGGACGAGAAACCAGCCCTGGAGAATGGGTTCGGACCTCTGGGGGCCGCGTCATGAAAAAATCATGACGTCGGGGGTTTGGGCGTAGGATCGAGGCCGGTCCCGGGGGGTGCCCTGATGTGCTTCGTGCTTGCGGGATGGTCTTGTGCATCTGGGGGGCGGGTGCCCTCGAGTGTCTTCAGTTTGGCCGGCGGAGGGTCTCCTGATCTTGAAGGATGTTCGTCTGCCTTAGGTCCGACCGTACCTCGAGTAATAAAGCGCGGCATAAAGATGACGGTGCTCCCCGTCGAAAGTTCATGTACATTCCATGTATGTTTTAGCCGTGCGAGGTCCCCAAACATCGAATAGGGAAAACGGCACAAACACAGACATTCGGCGCTCCCCGCCGACAGTTTCTGCGTATGCCGTAATAGGACGAGGTGCCTCAAAGTCGAGAAAGAAGAAGCTGCATACACATACACTTTCGGAACTCCGCGCGGATTTCTTGGATCTGCGCTGTGCCCCCCTGGCGGCGCCTCCGGCGCCGCCCCTGGCGTGCTCTGTGCGCCAGGGAGGGGGTAAGTTTGTGCCCATGCTGCTTTCTGTTCCTCTATTATCTCCCTCCCTATCCCCATCCAGACCCCCACCATCTCACCCCCCCCAGCTGGGGACGTACGCTTCGACGCCCGAGGGGAGCGGCCCATCTCCCCATCCCGGGGGGCAACTCGGCTGGTGGGGCCTGGGCCGCGCTGGTGGGTCATGGGGGTCAGCCAGGCGGTGCCCACCTCGGCTGCCCGAGCGGCGGGCCCGCCCGCCATCGCCAGCAGCAGGAGCGACAGCCTCGGCAGGCGGCAGCAAGGCTTTGCATGGTGGGCCCCATGGCGAGGGGCTGCTCCGAGAGCGCTTTGAGCATGGCGTCCTGCCCGGGCGCGGCGGCGAAGGGGTTGGGCTGGGCAAGTGGGTCAACTGGCGAGCCCATCTCAGCGTAGGCCTTGGCTGCCCTGTCTGCGGCAGCCTTGCACCGTTTCTGGACACAGTCCAGGTCTTCTTTGCACTGCGCAGCGTGCACCACCGCCTTCTGAGCAGCTTCTTGAGCTTTGGCGTATGCTTTCTCCTTGGCGGCAAGCTGGGACTGCAGTTGATCCTGCTGCATCCGCACGAACTTCGCAGCGGCCTGCGGGCCTCCCTGGAGCACGGCACGGTGCGCGGCGACTCGGGCACGCACTTTCGGGAGACCATTTCTCGGAGAGATTCGTGACATCCTCTGCCTACATGCGGGCATAGATGTCCAGCTGGCTCTCATCCAGAATGGTCGCGCCCTTGAACTTGGACGGAGGACCACGGGCCCAGCTGCCCTTGGGACCATGCGTATGCTGCGGAGGCTTGGGCTCGTTGCTAGGCGCAGCTCGACCGCAGACTCGACAATTGGTGCGCGACAAGTAGTTGAACCTGTAGCTACGTTTCTTGTGCCCGCATTGCCGCGTCTTGAGCCCTTCCATGGCTGCACGAGAGGGCTGCAAAACAGGGCCGTCGGCCTATGACCTGCCCTAGTCAGTACGCGAGTGCGGGATGAAACCGCAGTCCGTTAACGAAGAAAGGTTGGAGGTGTTGCTTCCGAGCGTGGTAGGGGCCACAATCCCCCTGCCGCGCAAAATAGCGCACGTCCTGAACCACCGCTACGGACTTGAGGCTCAAGTCCGTAGCGGTGGTTCAGGACATGGCTACGAGCACACCCCCTCCTCCTCCTCCTCCTCCTCCTCCTCCTCCTCCTCCTCCTCCTCCTCCTCCTCCGCTGGTACCTTGGGAGTGTAATTGTGAAAGTGGTGAGCCCCCCGCCAATCGGAGGAGGATATTGTACCCATACCGTTACCCTCCCATCGTTTTTCCCTTTTTGGGCCTCTTGGGATGCCCTCGTCGTTACCACTGGATTCGCCTCGAACTCCTGGTCAGAACGCACCCCGGGAGTCCCAGGAGAGAGGTCCAGGGAGTAGCGGTATCGGCACCTTTTGGTTTCCCCAAAGGATTGTCAGTGTGACAGGGTGAGCCCCTTCTAAGATGGGCCAGTGGGTCCTCCAGCGTCTTTGGGGAGGGCGGCCACTCAACTGACGTCCCCATTCTGCAGATGAGGCAGAGTTTCCGACATCGTCGATTTTGGGGCAATCCTGGGTAATCCTCCTCTGATTGTTCCTGGTGCAAGGTTCGCCAGCTGTACCAGTGTATTGCGGCAGCACTTGATGATGGAAAACGGCCTCCTCCTCTGATCAAAAGCCTCCTCCTCAGCCTCCTCCTCCTCCTCCTCTTCCTCCTCCTCCTCCTCCTCCTCCGGTCAAGAGCCGCCCCTTCCTCCCCGCAGGTGGTCAGGTGCCTGGTGGAGGACCGCGGCCAGGGTCGAAGCGCACCTGCAGCGGGTGCCTCGTGCGGCCGGCTGCGGGCGCGGCGCCACTCCCCCTGTGTGCTCTGGGGTTGGACCGAGACAAGAATGTCGTTTCTTGTCTCGTTAGTCTTTTGTCTCCTGCTGCAGTCCACGTACCATCACTTGTCTGTCGTCTTCTACCAGATGTGAGCGACCCGTGCTGCAGTTTTCACCAAGACACGTCCACAATCATTTGTCGCCGCCAGCACCTTTGAGGGACCGCTCCTCTGGAGCCGGCATGCAGGCTGTACCTGTACCAGTTCTGTGTTTCGAGTGGTTCGAGCATGTGCGTTATCTGTCTACTCGAACCAGAGTCGCCAGCGTCGCCGCCAGGGGGGCCCAGCGCCGATCCAAGCAACAACGAGCGCGGAGCTCCGAAAGTTTATGCTCATGCAGTCTTTATAGCAGTTTAATAACCGCGCGGGATTGGGTTGCGTGGGCTGTCCTTAGCGGGGCGTTGGCGTGTCGAACCCTTTCGGGGGCGGGTTCGGTGCGCGCGAGGGGGTCAGAACGGGACGTCGGGCGGGGTGGCATGGGGGGGTGCTTGTTGAACAATTCGGAGTAATTGAGCCCGCATCGCGGGAGCCACAACGGACTCATTTTCGGGAGGATAGTTTGGAAATGCGGCATTTGGGCGTGCCTCGGGAGTTTTGGGGCTGTTTGGGGCCCCTCCAGGGCTGGGGCCGTCTGGAGCCTCGCCAGACCCGCGCCCCCACATTCTTGAGTCCTTCCAAAACACAACGCCTGGCACGTTGACCATGGGCATCCGTGAAACTCTTGCAAATCGGCGCTGAGGCGAGAGCCGCATTTTGCAAAGGAGCCGCTCTCAATCCGTGAAACTCTTGTTTTGTCATACGCATGTGCGCGGCGCTAAGGTGAGGGCCACATCTTGGAAACGACCCGCCCTTAATCCGTGAAGCTCTTACAATTGTTGAAACGAAGGTGCGCGAAGATGAGGCAAGAGCCGCATTTTGAAAGTGACCCGCCCTCTACCTGTGAAGCTGTTACCAGTTTTAAAGCTTCAGGGTCCTAGGTGAGGACGTCTCAGGCGAAACGCCCAGCCCGCTCTTTCGACTGGCCTCGGGGTGCGACAGGGAGGAGTTATTGATTAGGATAAGGAATGGAAGATGAGGCGGAGGAGGAGTAAAAGCAGGCCTCTTGGGGCCTTCTTGGGGCCTCCGGGGGGCCTCTGTGAAGCATCTTGGGTGTTCCTCGGGGGCCTCCTCGGGCGTCTGGGGCCCTCTCAGGTCGTCTTACGGGCGCTGTTGGCCCGTCTGGCGCCTTCGGGGGCCGTCTTGGGGACCTTTCTGGGCCGTCTTGGAGGCCTCTTGGGCCGTTCCGGGCGGGGTCTCAGCGCTCTGGCCAGCGCCCCGGAAGGCGCAGTTGCGCCCCGGGCACCTTGGAATTCCACAGGGGACCCCCGATCTCGGCATCGGGCGGGGCCGGGAGAGGGATAAGTCGTTCCAGAGCCTTCCGGAACGCTCGGAGAAGGCCGCGGCGCACGATGCATCCTGCAGAGTCGCCGGATCTCAGAGATCCCCGCTTTGTCCCGTCTCGATTTTGTCCCTGTCCTGCGACCCGCTGGGTCGTAGGTTGGTCGTAGGTGGGGTTGTGTCGTGGGTGGGTCGTGGGTGGACGTAGGAGGGCGATGGTGATCACAAACCCATCAAACGAAAATTTTAACCGTACGTAAAACACAACGTAAATACACAACGTCAGTAAAACATAATACACAACGTGAATACACAACGTCAGCAGAACATGATACACAGCGTAAATACACAACAACACGCATATACACAGCGTAAATACACAGCAGCACGCATATACACAGCGTAAATACACAGCAGCACGCGTATACACAGCGTAAATACACATCATCACGCATATACACAGCGTAAATACACACCAGCACGCATATACACAGCGCGACTACACAGCAGCACGCATACACACAGCGTAGATACACAACAGCACGCATATACACAGCGTAGATACACAACAGCACGCATATACACAGCGTAAATACACAACAGCACGCGTATACACAGCGTAGATACACAACAGCACGCGTATACACAGCGTAAATACACAACAGCACGCGTATACACAGCGTAAATACACAACAGCACGCGTATGCACAGCGTAAATACACAACAGCACGCGTATACACAGCGTAAATACACAACAGCACGCGTATGCACAGCGTAAATACACAACAGCACGCGTATGCACAGCGTAAATACACAACAGCATGCGTATACGCAGCGTAAATACACAACAGCACGCGTATGCACAGCGTAAATACAACAGCACGCGTATGCACAGCGTGAATACACAACATCACGCATATACACAGCGCGAATTCACACCAGTACGCATATAGACAGCGCGAATCCACAGCAGCACGCACATACACAGCGCGAATACACAACAGCACGCATATACACAGCGCGAATACACAACAGCACGCATATACACAGCGTAAATACACACCAGCACGCATATACACAGCGTAAATACACACCAGCACGCATATACACAGCGTGATACACAGTGTAAATACACAACGCGCATACACGTCGTGTTTTACGTTGTGTTTTTGCGTTGTGTATTACGTCGCGCCGCGTTGTGTATTTGCGTTGTGTATTTGCGTTGTGTTTTCCGCGTGGTTTGCGACAACTCTCAGGAGGGCAAGTGCCTAAACTGTCAACATCGCTGGGTCGTAGGTGGGGTGGTGTCGTTTGCTTCCTGGTCCAGTGGCTCCGTCTTGCCCCTCGCCTCTCGATAGCGCGGGGCGCCGCCGCGCCCCTCGAGGACGCGGGCCTGTTGCCAGACCTCCCAGACGAGGTCCTCGGGCAGACGCCGCTGTTCAGCGCCGCGGCCCACGGCGCCACTGGCGCGGCGCGGGCGCTGATCGAGCTGCGGGCCAAGGCCAGGGGGGCCCCAAACGGTGCGGCGACCACAGTCGGCCACGCGTGGAGGGGTGTAGGGGGAGGGGGGGAAGGCTTCTGAGAAGCACCCTGCTTTTTAGAAATCGCGGGCCTTGTCTATGGATGTAAGGCCGGCGCCTTCCAAGAGGCAGCCTCCTTCTAAGAAGCTTTCCCCCTCCCTCTTGCCCTCTTGTGCGCGCCGCCAACACGGCGTGTGGAGAGTCAATGGGGCGTCTGGAGGTGTTCTGGTGTTTCCAGGAGTTTCCGAACCCCGGGGTGGTTGTTTCCAACAGCTGCGCCCCGCCGAGGGCGTTCTGGGGGTCGCAGAATCGTCCCGAACGGCCGTTGGGGAGCCGAGGTGTAGCCCAAAGACCAGTGCGGTGACCACACCGTGCGGAGAGTCAGTGGGGATTCGGGGTGACCGCTCGGTTATGGAACTTGGGTCGTTCTCCGAGGATGTCTGCGGCGAATGGGGCCTCCGAGGTCCCAAAGCCGTGCGGTGACGGACCGTGCTGTGAGGTCTTTTGGGATTTCGACGAGGACCGACCACAACGCTGTTTGGCTTTGTTTGGGTCCTTGTTTTATTTTGTATTTTCGCTTCGTTTTTCGTTGTCCGTTTTAAGTGCTCGATTTAAACGTGGGGCCTCGTTTCGTTGTTCGTTGTAATCGCCATTTCGTTTGAACACTGTTGTGGTCGGCCCTCGTTGTCTCACATTCTCTATCCCTATCCGTATGCCTATCCATGTCCCAATCTCTGTCCCCATTCTAGACATGTCGCGTAGCCCCATTGGCCCATCCAGTAACGATGCCCAGACGAGTTGCCCCGATCAGGGATGTGCAGGAGACTGCAGTGGATCAAAGGGCTGGGTATGACGTCGCACCCCAAGAGGGGAAGGATGGAGGAGGAATCGGAGGAGGAGCCCGACTCCCGGGCCCCCCAGAGAGATCGGAGGTGCTGATGTCTTCTGCACGGGGTCGCCAGGAGTCCCGACCCCTTGACGGCCCTGTGGCCCGGCGAGGGCATCCAGGGGCCAAACGCGGTCAAGCCCCGTGATTTCTTTTGGAGCACGCTGGAGGTCTGGGGAGGCCAGGACGCCCCCCCCCCTCACCACCCACCAAACCACCCCAATCTAACCCGAAGGCTCCAAGTTGCCCTCCGTTTCCCAGTGGGGGGTGGCGTTTGGGAACGTTGGGAGCATTGAACAAATACACGTGGAACCCGCACCTCCCCCAACCCGAAATCTGGGTCTTCGGGTTAGGTTGTGGTGGTCTGGCAGGTAGTCACTCGGCGGCGAGCGAGGGGGGGAAGTGAGAAGGAGAAGGCCTTCTCAGAAGGCGGCGGGACTGATCGGAAACCCTCGCGCCTTCGGAGAAGCTTTCTGTGTCTCCGGGGTAGGCTCCAGAAACTTCTTAGAAGGCTGGGGGACTTCCGAGCCTTCTGAGAAGGCCCGCCCCCTCCAAATTCTTGACGCTTCGCGTGTCCCCACCAGCCCATCCAGAAACGATGTCCAGGCAAGTTGAAGAGATCAGGGAAGTGGGGGAGCAACGAGAGGGACAGCCGATCCGTGCAAAGGATGAGGCGGAAGAGGAGGCCAGATGGATAGATGAGGGGGTGGCGAGGAACCGAGCGAAGGAGGGATGAAGAGAATGATGACGCTGGGTGGATGGTTGAATGCCGCTCGGATGCCTCTTGGAAGCCTTTTGGAAGCCTCTTCGGACGTCTTGGGGGCATCTTGGCGGTCAATGGGGGCTCTTGGGCGTCTTGGGTGCTTCGGGGGGCCTCTTGAGGCCGCTTGGGATCCTCTTGGGGGGCTCTTGGGGGCCTGTTGGAGGCCTCTTGGGGCCTCTTGGGGGTCTCTTGGAGCTTCATGGCGGCCTCTTGGAGCCTCTTGGAGGCCTCTTGGAACCATCCTGGGAGCCTCTTGGAGCCTCTTGGGGGCTTCTTGTGGCCTCATGGCGGCCTCTTGGGGCCTCTTGGAGGCCTTTTGGAAGCCTCTTGGGGCCTCCTGGGCGCCTCTTGGGGCCATCTTGGAGGAGATCGATCAAAGAAGAGGGTGGGGTTAATTAGCCTTGTCCCCCCAAGAGGCCAAAATGGGGCCAAAACCCTAGTAAAACCGATGATTTTGGCTTCCTCGCCGAGGCCGTTTTGGACGCTCTAACTACCAGCGGCCCCCCCCGTCCAAGTCCAGGGGAGGGGGTTAGGGGGAGGGGTAAACCCCTCCCCGAAGGGGAAGAAGGGAAGATGGAAGAGGAAACTCCCGGAACCACCTACGCCCAGAGGGCTGGTGGGATTTCCCCCCAGGCTGGCTGCCGAGGTAGTTAGGGAAACAAGCAATGACATAAACATAAAAACTCGGAGATCCGCGCGGATTGCTCGGATCGGCGCCGGACTCCCCTCCCCCTCCCTGGCGCGCGGAGCGCGCCAGGGGCGGCGCTGGAGGCGACGCCAAGGGGCCCCAGCGCCGATCCGAGAAGTCCGCGCGGACCTCCGAGTTTTTATGTTTATGTCATTGCTTGTTCCCCTTGGGCGAAGGTCGACCAGATCGACGGCAACCAGCAGACGCCCCTGTTCTGGGCCGCCAGTCGTGGCCACACGGCGCCCGCCGCCCCCCTGCGCACCTCTCCCCCCTCCCCGCCCAGGGCGGGGGCTGCTGAGGTCACGAGCGAAAGAAGGACGCACACGTACAATATCGGCGGCGGGCGGGGGGGAAAGGTGAGAAGGAGAGGGCCTTCTCAGACGGCGGCGGGGCTCTTCCGAGCCGTCTGAGAAGGCCCGCCCCCTCTCATTTTCCCCACCAGGCTCGCCGCCGACATCAGATGCTCGTTTTGGGGACCTTCCTGAGGCCCACCTGACGGATCTGTTCGACTCTAGTTCGACTCTAGGTCGACTCCAGTTCGATTCAGATTCGACTCAGGTTCGACTCAGGTTCGACTCAGGTTCGACTCGAGTTCGACTCGAGTCGACGGACATTCGACGCAGCCTCGACGCACGAGTTGAGCGAGGGGCTCCAGGAGAGTCCCCAGAATGGGCATCTAACGCGCATGAATACAGGCTGGTTTCGAGAGGACTCATTACGCGAACATTCGTAAGAAAAAAGGCCAGACTCGCGGACTGGGGGGCCGTGTTCCTGTACGTGGTTGGCCGCGTACGGCCCAAGGTGCCCCCAGCTTTTCGCTCGATGTTGGAGCCCCCTGGGCCCTCTGAGCCTCGAGAGGGGTGCTCTGGAGGCCGTGGGGGCATCCTCGTAAATCCTGCTGGCACCTTGGGCCAGGGGCACTTCTCGCAGCACCCGACCTGTACGGGCCGGGGCAGCGGCAGGTCGAGCGGAGCGCTTCTTTGAAGCGAGCAGCGGTCTGAGCATCGCCTGCCGTGGGCGACGAACCCATCCGTATCCACGGCCTCGCGGGCCCTGCCCCTGGGCCGCGACCCCGCGGAGCTACGGGGCGCTTTTTGGCGGACGCCCTGCGCGGAACGCCTCTGTGAGCTTGGACACGCCGCTCGCGAGCCTGGACACGTCTCGGGAGGCGTTGGGGCGCGCTGACGGCCGAGGGATTCAGACGTTCCAGTTTCTCGGGCCTCCAGCGGCCTCCCGTCGCCACGGCAACGGCCAGAGCTCGCTCCAGTGACATGCTTGGGGGGGTCGCTGGCGGCTTGCCCCCGCCGCGTGGCCCGCCGCACGGTCGCAATCGCCCGTGTGGAATCACCCTCCTCTTCGCCATGCAGAGGAAGCCCCGACTTTTTTTTAGTGTTTCTTCTTCTTCTTCTGGGTCCCAGGGCCCTTCTGGGCCCGCTGGCCGTCAAACAGATCGTGTCAGGATAAGAAGACGGGCCCCCGAGCAAGCCCCGGGGCCCAGGACTCGTTTCCCTCAGGACCCCTGTGCGCCGTCAGGGCAGGTCCGTATCCGCTGCCGAGGGGTTGTGTCCCGGGGCCTCCTCGAGATCCCAGGGCACGGCGCTCCGAGGCGGTGGATCCCTCGTGCCTGCACAGCTCCTGCTCCTTCTCCTCAACTTTTTCTCTTGGCCCGACGCGCCCGCTCCTGCTCCTCCCCCCCCCCGCTCTCCCCCCCGCCATCCTGCCGACGCCGCTCCTCAGCCCTCCCTCTCGTCCACCGTCTCTGCCCGGCTCTCTCTTCGAGCCCTGGGCCCGCGAGCGGGCCTCGCTGCAGTGAGGCCTGGGAGGGGGGGGGGCTTCCGTCATGCGTTTCCACGCGCCGTGGCCAGTGTGTCCGTGACGGCGCGCGCTGCTGCTGCTGCTGCTGCTGCTGCTGCTGCTGCTGCTGCTGCTTTTGCTGCTGCCGCTGCTGCTGCTGCTGCTGCTGCTGCTGATGCTGCTGCTGCTGCTGCTGCTGCTTCTGCTGCTGCCGCTGCTGCTGCTGCTGCTGCTGCCGCTGCTGCTGCTGCTGCTCCTCCTCCTCGTCCTCCCCTGAATTGGGGGAACGCAGAGGAACAAGGCAGGCAGAAGCGCCCGCAGGTTTGCCGCCTTGCAGTGTTGTCGCCGCCCCGGGGGGTTGTCAGCTATCCACTCCTCGATCCTGGCTGGGCCGATCCTGGGCCCAGTATCGCTGAGTGCGTGCGTGCGTGCGTGTGTGTGTGTGTGTGTGTGTGTGTGTGTGTGTGTGTGCGCGTCTATCCCTCCCACTGGCCTCTCGGCCTTGCTAGTCTCCGCCATGTGTTCCTGGCGCTGCGCGGCCCGCTGCCCTCCCCTGGCGGTGCCCGCCCTCCCCCAGCTTGGCGGTGCCCTCTCCTGGGTGGACCCTGAGCGGTGCTCGCCTCGCTGGCACTCCCGCTGGCCTCTCGGCCTCGCCGGCCTCCGTCCCGGAGCCCTGGCGCTGTGCGGCTCTCCTGCCCGCCTCGCCTCCCGCTGCGCCCAGCCGGGCCCGCGCACGGGCCCCCCCCTTCCCCCGCCCTCGGCCCGCCGCCCCGCCGCTCTCGCTCCTGCTGGCTTGTCCAGCCTCCCGACCTCTCGGTCTGGCCGGCCGCCAGCTCCCCAGGCCTGGCTCCGCTGCCCGTGGGCGCCGCCCTTCTGGCCACTGGGCGCGCGCGCGGCTTGCCGCGCGGGCGTTTGACGGCGGGGAGGTGCTCCCGCCCGCGACGACCGAGATGTGTGTGTGTGTGTGTGTGTGTGTGTCTACCCTTCGGCCCCCCTGCGGTGTTTCCGCCGTGACCTTCACGTTCCTGTCCGTTGCCCCTCGCGGTCTCTCCGTTGCCGCCGCCGCTGCGCCCCGTCTTGTCCCGCCTGCACTGTAGGCACTGGCCTTCCGTCTCCTCCTCGTCTTCCCCTGCGTCTTTCCCCGCGCATCCCTGCCCCTGGCTTGCGTATGGCAGGGTTGATCCCCTCATGGGTGGATCCCCGTCCTTGGCTTCTGAGAGGGTTGACCGCGCGCGTTGCCCGCGTTCCGCTCTTGGACGTTCTACGCCTCGACGCTGCGCGCGAGGCCGCGACGCCAACCAGTTTTTGTTCGTTGTTGTGTTGTTTTGTTTTGTTTTGTTTTGTTTTGTTTTGTTTTGTTTTGATTTGTTTTGGTTTGTTTTGTTTTGTTTTGTTTTTTTTTTGTTGTGTGTGTGTGTGTATGTGTGCGTGCGTGTGAGCGGCCGCGCGCGTCTCTCCGCCCGATTTTCTCCGCTGCGACGCTGCGCGCGCGGCCGCGACGCCAAAAAGTGAGTGCGGTTGTGCGTGCGTGTTCCCCCCTCTTTCCATTCTCCTCTCGCGACTGCCCCCTCGCGAGTGCCGCTGTCGACCCCGTAGGTGTGCGTCCAGCTTTCCCGCGCCGCGGGAGCTGGCCAGGCCCGTGCGCTCCCGCTTGACTTGCCCTGCGCGCCGCGCCGCCGCGCGCGTGGCCGCGACGCCAAACAATAGTGTGTGTGTGCTACATACATGCTCTCTCTCCCTCTCTCGCCCTCTACTCTGGCCAGGCCAGGAGGGCGCAAGTGCCGACCCCGTGCCCGCTGGGGGGGCCTGGCCGGGTTCAGTGCAGCTGCGCCGCGCCGTGGGCGCCCCTCTCCGACTCCGCAGGCGTTTTGGCTCGAGCCCCGCCAACCGCCCGCCGTGCCTCAGCGGCGCGCGCAACCGTGAGATCCGGCTGCTGCCGCGTTGTCGCCCCGGGCGTTCTGGCCCGGCGTCGGTCCCCAGGACCATCACGTATCGATCCGTCTCGAAGAAGAGGCAGCAGGAGGGTGGTGGGGGGGGGGGGGTCGAGGGTTCTGGGGTCGTGCTGCTGTCTCGCGATGAGGCACGTTTGTTCGCGACGTCGGATCGCAGGGCAGGGGGTGGCGCGAGGGGGGTGGCCCTCTGAGCAGGCGGGGGTTGCTCAGAAGGCATCGCAGAGCGAGCTCCACTACCTGCAAACGTCCGGAAGCAAAGCAAACTCGTGCGTGCCTCGATGTGATGGATCGCAAATCCCTCTCGGCGCATCCGGGCCATTTGCGACGTTGTCATCTGCGAGCCGTGGGGTGCGCTTGTCCACTCCCAGAGGGCAGGGGCCCCCTCGGATGCCCGCCTGGCGTCCAGAAGGGCTCCCTGGAGGCCGCCGTGCCCCTCCCGAGGGGGCCGCCGCCCTGCTACAGGACTCGTCAAAAGTAAGTTGGCGTTTTTTTCGCTGGCATGAGGTTTTCCGCCCAGTTCGCAGGGGTGTCCGAAATCCTCTCAGCATCGAAGAACGCGTTTCCTGACAAGTGCCTGAGCAATCGAGCGCTTCGATTTTGAACAGCGTTTCGATCCACTGTTGACGAGGCCTGTAGTTACGAGGCCCCCCCGCCCTCGCAGAAGGCCGCCCCCCCCCCCCTCGCGCCACAACCCCTCGCGCGCGCCGCCGACCCTGACGTCCGCCGATGCATTTGTTTCATTCCGCGGTCCCGAGGTCCCGACCGGTTCCCGGTTGCTTTTTTTTTGTCCGCTGCTCGATTCCACGCCAGACGGACCTTTCGCCAGAGTGACCTCTGGTGCGGGCCCAATGGGGCCCCCCGATCGCGGAATGCGGTGCGACAGCAGCGGCCCTCGCGCTTGGGATTGGCCTCCCCCGCGCCCCCCAAAGGCGCGCACCAAAGGTCGCTCTTGCCCAGGGTCGCTCTTGCGTGCAGCCGAGTTGATGGCCCTGGGGGTCCGATATCGTGCCCCAAAGGCCGACATTGAGGCAAAGCTGGCCACGCGCAGAGGGGGGTGCGGGGGGAGGGCGAGGGCTTCTTAGAGGCACCTCTGCTTCTCAGATGGCGCGGGCCCAGTCTGTAGATGCAGGGCCGGCGCCTTCCAAGAAGCAGCCTCCTAAGAAGCCTTCCCCCCTCCCCCTACCCCCTTGTGCGCGCCGCCGCCCCCAAAACGCCCCGATAGAAACAATATGCATTGTCGGAGATCTGGGAGTTCCATCGCCCCCCGATATCCGGTCACTTCCGCGATGGGTGCCCGCCGCGCCTCGCTGCTCTCCGTGGCCCTGCTCGGCCTGGCCGCGGCGGCGGGGGCTCAAGCAAACACCAGACGTTTTCGTGTGTCTGCCCAGTTTCCTGAGCAGCTTGTCCGGAAGGGTTCGAATATCTCTCTTTTCTGAGAGACTCGCATGTGGACTGCCGGATCCGCAATCGGTCGGTCGTTGTGGCCTCCCGTGGCCTCCCGTGGCCACAGGGGCGTCATGCCGATTTGGATTCCAGAGAGCGTGCACTATGGCCCCTGCTCTCGCCGAGTTCTAGCCTCCAAGAGCTGGGACCCCAACCACTGGGCTTGGACCCGTGTGAGCCCATAGGAGGCGAGCACTACCGACGGGGCGGCCTCCTGAGCTGAGGCCCCTCGCCAGAGGGACAGGAGGAGGAGGAGGAGGAGGAGGAGGAGGAGGAGGAGGAGGAGGAGGAGGGGGAGGAGGAGGAAGAGGCAAGACTCGACCCAGGAGGGTCATGCAACCGAATTCCCACGGAGGCCTCACGAGCCCCGCGAGACCCCAAGGAGCCCCAGAGACCCCTGCCGAGGCCTCACCGTCCTGAGCGTAGGCCAAACCTGGGTCAAACCCCAGGTTCGGCCCACGCCGACCTCGTCGGCGGCGGACTGGCACAGCGCCGCGTAGCAGGCGAGCTTATCCTCAAGCGCGACCATGCGATCGGCCGCTGCATCGAGCTCGTCGTGCAACTCCTGCGTCGCCACGGCGCCGTTGCTCAGCCCTTCCGCCAGCGCGAGCGCTGCCGTGTCCCTCTGCTCCGTGGCGCCACGGAGCAGCTCCTCCAGCACCTCGATGCTGTCGAACGGCTCGCTCCCGTCGGTGTCGGCGCCGTCGTCAAGGATCCCGAAATCCGTGACGGCGCACTCGGCTGGGCCCTCGAGGTCAACGCCGTCAACGCCTGCAGCCGCGGGCATCGGCCATCCCCCCGTCGGGAGCCGCGGCTGCAGGGCGCATGGAGGGGGAGGCTGCAGTTCGCGCGTCAGCGACTCCCTCGCTCCATACGGGGGCGGACCTGGAGGGCCAGCAGTGCCCTTGACAGACACCTCCGTCTCCAGCTGCTCCCTCTTGACCTGGCTTTCCGCAAGCTTCCAGCCCGCCGCCAAGCCGTCGCCGAAGGCCTGGGCCTCCACCAGAGGGTCGCCCTTGTGTCCATTCTGGGTCGGCACCTCCTCGAAAACCTCATGCGTGATCTCCTCGTCCTCCGAAGCGGCACTCGCAGCACCGTAAGGAGAGGCAGCATGGGCATCACGATCAGCGTCAGCATGATCAGACGAGAGGTCTGGACCCGCTTCGATTACGCCGCCACGGGCATGATCAGGAATATCACAGGTGGCACTCATTTCGCGCAGCTGCAACTCCACATCCATCTCACCGATGTCGTGCCTCGCTTCCAGCCGAAGGCCTTTCTGGGCATGCCGGAGCTGCCCCTCGGACGCCATCGCAAAGGAGCCGGCACACTGGTGAGCGTGAAGAGCCACGTTGCGGCGGAGTCGGTCAACTCCGCTGGGCAGCTTGCCCGCAATCAGCGCTCCCAGCGCAGGCAGAACGGCCTGGATCCGAACCCAGACCTCCTGGTTGCCGAAAAGGAAGCAAAGGCAACTGAGCAGCTCCTCGTGCGTGCCGCGCACGGCAGCCAACTCGT